CCCCAAAACCCCAAAACCCCAAAACCCCAAAACCCCAAAACCCCAAGGCAGGCTCAATCGATTGAAAATATTATTTCATTATAGATTAAGATGTAGGATTATTCTTCTTCCTCTTCCTCTTCATCAACATTCTCCTCATCAGAGTCGTCTTCGTTGCCAGACTCTTGCTCATCTTCTTCCCTGATAATGTCCTTCAGATTTGCTTGCTTCAGAATTTCTTTTAGTTCATCACCATCTTTGGATTCGTTAAATACAAGCTCAAATTTATTTTCAGAAAAGTCGGGGATTTGTCCTTTTCTAGAATTAGACCATTCAGGAGCAGGGAAAACAGGGTCAATTGCTACCTTTACTACATTTTCTACGAGTGCAGGGATCATCCTTGAGAGTAAGCTGCTTGAGAGCTCAAGACAAGGGTTAGTGTTCACCTCAATCAGCCATACTTTTTGGTTTTCATCAACCATGAAATCATACCCAAACAACTCAAATGTGTACTGGTTATTATTTGGATCAATCTGCATATAAGTGGCCTTGATTGTATCAGTTGCAAGTTTCTTCATCTGGGGATAAATCTTGTCGAAATCGATCTTCATGTCAGGACAATTCACCTCAAAATGTTTCTGGAATTCCTTATAGCTCAGCTTATTGCCGTCTTCATATTTTCCATATGAATTCGAGTATTTTTGGATAGCATCATTAGTCAGATGGATGTACTTGTTAGACACATTTTTGAGAGAAAATTCTTTACAAGCAGTCCTGATATATCCGTCCTTGTACCAATACCCTCATATATTCCCGTTGATAGAGGTAACCAGTGAGTATCACCTGATGTCAAACTTTCTTCTGTTGATAAGCAGAGGATTTTCCATGTATTTCTGAACAATATAGCTCCTCCTCTTTCCGTTGTTCAGCTTGACATTACTGTCCACAAGACTGATGATCTGTGACATATCCCTACAGACAGTGATCCCATTGCCTCTGTTAGTATTTTCACCTGGTTTGACGATCCAAATGTTCTGGCTCTTTTTACCCTTACCCTCTGCTTCGATCTCTTCAAATTTCTGACTGAATAATTCAAACTGAGGGTCATTGGATCCTTCCTGAATGTGATATGTCAGAGGAATGTAGTTAAAAGGCTCCTTCCCAAGACATTCGAAGTAGGCTTTCATGTTGTAATACAAGGCCTTCTTGTTACTCAGATGGAAATGGTTCTCCAAGTGATTTCAGATCTTGAATTTATCACACACAAGCGGGTCCTTTTTAATTGCCTTCCTTCTTCTTCCATGTATTACAGAGTTGCTTACTTTAGACAGCTTCTGGGAAGGGAAATTATTACCAGAAGTGGTCAGACTAGAACTAGTCGTGTTCTTTGTATCAGAAGTAGATCCACTCTCCTTCAAAATCGTGTTAGAGGTTGATCCAAAGTTAGTAGTATCAAGCTCAGACTCACTTCCATGATCTCCCCTATTGAGCCTTTTTAGATTGGAAATAAATTTCCTACACATTAGCTGAGTCCACAAGAAGTTAACATTAGGATTAGATCTTTTGGTTCTTTGCCACCACCATCTGCTCTTGAGAGCAAGTTGGACGAGAAGGGAGTTATTTCCCCTCCCTAGTGCATATTTAAGATACTTTCAGCTTCCTACAGGGTTGATCTCCATGCCATTGATTCTTTGCTGATTCTCTACAAACTTTCTGTAAGCATTCTCCTTCTGCTCAAAAATGGAGTCCTTATTCGGCTTGAGCTCATTGATGATAAATCTATTCTTTGAAATCGATTTAACTTTATCACTCTTGTATTTAATGGTCTTCTTAATAATATTCGGCTTCTGAACAGGTGTTGCCTTCTGCTCCTCTTGCTGGGCTTGCTGCTCTAGTTCAGCTTTAGTTGGAAACAAGTTCATTATAGAGGTTCTCTTTAAGGGCTGGATTGGGTAATCCATTAGTTTCTTAATGCATTTGATTAAATCCTTGCTTCCAATTTTGAATTCACTCTTAATCGTCTGGACTAGCATATATGTTAGAACTCAGTAGTAGCAATCTTTCTCCCACTGGTTATTCCAGTTCATGCAATTGTTTATGGCCATCAGCGCTAATTCTCGGTTATGGACCTTGCCTCACTTCATCAAGGCATATACATACGCTTTATGATGAGGGTTTAGGTTCTTTATGATCCAGAGTGAGTATTTGTTCACTATGTTTCCATCAATAAGGATATCATCATTTGAGTAAAACTCCTCAAATTCACTGTACATTCTATTAATGTCATTCCTGAGAACATAGGAGGCATTTGACCTGGACTTTTTGCCTTTGCCGACATCCTCTCCAAGGCTGTTATCGAAGAACAGCCGAATAAGGAGGCCTTTCAAAGAGTTGAGCTCACTCTGCTCTGAGTAATTCTTGCCATTTTTCCACAACAAGTCCTTGTTCTGGTAGGAATTATCTGCTCTACTGTGTTCAGTCTTAGTATTGGTAAAGCTAGCAATATTGCCTGGAGATAAGAAATCTAGAAACTTACTGTTATGATTACAGTTCGGGTTCCGATTCATGTTCCTCTTCTTCATTGATACAGGAGATTTATCATTCTTCTTAGTCTGAGGAGGAGTTGCTTTCAAAGAATTCTCAGAGATAGCAACTGTAATCTTCCTATGGAGCTGACACATCATTGGAATTCTCAAATTTCTGAGGTAAGAAATCCAGGGCTTGTCAATTTCTTCATCAAATTTTGGGTCTTTCCTCTCTTCCTTACCATGATCTTCCTTCCTAGTTGGTCTATCTTCTCTCCTCTTATTATGAGAAGATACAGATTTTCTGACTCTTGAACCTTTTCTGGAGAACTTTTGTTGAGCATTAGCATCACCATAATCATCCTTTGACATCAAATTCCTAAGCTTGTTCTCCTTTCAAGGCGATATTTTGTCATTTTCAACTTCAGCTCTCTGTTGGTCCTTCGTTAAGCACCGGGATTGGATAATACTATTCAGGATATTGTCTGGGTTGCTGGTTTTGGACTTCAGATCTTTTTCTTTAGCCTTATTGCTCTCTACCTCCTTTGTATCGCCTAAAAGTGGTCCAAAACTGTCAAAGATAAAATTTCATAAGATTTAATTTTATCAATTCCTTACTTGTCTTCTTAGCCTGAGAGCTATGAGTTGACCTCCGCTTGTAAGCTGAAGAATGATTCATTAGTGGAGCGATCTTCTGGTTTCCTGGTGACATCTCCCCTTCCCTTGTCCTCTTCTGTGAGGAAGATATCTATGGAGTTTATGGAAGGAAAAGTACAACTTTTGAAATCTTAGCCAATTTTGGAGTTATTTTTGACTTATCGTTCCTAATCTGATTGTTATACTCAATTTTTCCATCTTTAATAGTCCTAGAATATGGCTCATCATCACTAAAGTTGTTGTGATCCCTATCAAGAATCTGGGTAGCATCATTCCTTGTGCTAGAGTCTTGCTTATTTTTGGTATGAGAGACCTTCCATTGAGAGTTTCTGCATGGCTGACTTCTCCCTACAAAGACGTTAAATAATTTCATAAGGCTGTTAGGAACCTACCTTCTTTGGAAGATATTGTCCTTCTTACGACTCTCGAGTTTCCTCGATTTGGCTTTGAACTCGAACTGTCTAAATAGATATTATCCAAAAGAAAAGAGGAAATTCAGTTATTATAAATTAATTCCAAATATACATCTCTAAGGGTTTAGAACAATGAAGATAATTCCTTACTTGCCAATTTTGGGTAAAGCAACCGAAGACTCCATCTTGCCTCTAATTTCGTTCACTTTCTTACTATCTATAGAATTAAATAGGACTATTAGATTAATTTTATTCCCTAAAAACCCTTAACAATCATCAGAGCTCCTTACCATGGTTATTACCCATCGTAAAATTATGGCCTTTGCCCTGATTCATAGTTTTTATTTGGGCACTTTGTTTCTTAATAAAGCTGTTAGATATGCTGGGTTTCATCTTCTCGCTAGTTCCAGCCCTTTTCCCAGCAGCCACTCTCGTTGAGACGAACTTTTCTTTTTGCAAGTTAGACCTAGACATTGTTATAGTTTTATTTTATATGAATTCATCTCAGATAATATTTGTTGGGGTTTTGGGGTTTTGGGGTTTTGGGGTTTTGGGG